GTTATTGTGTTGTTAGTGGTGTTTGGGGGGGACAGCATTGCTTTTTTTCTATTTTCATTGCTCTCTCTTGTATTATGGTCATTATTCCCTTCTTCTGGAGTCATCAGCCACACAAACCAAATATTGGAGCAGCATCTCTACTGGTTTCTCATCTTAATGATATGGGCTTAGCCCTCATAGACATTCATGTGTCCCTACACTTAACAGTAGTGGATGGCAAGCACCTCAATAGGGCCAGGTTCCTCTGCCATTGCCTTGCTCTGAATGAGCTGAGAAGGAGTAATAAATAGCTTTAATTCACATATTATTTTGGAGGCTTTGAAAGACAGACGTTCATGTGCTTCATCTCATTGGACGTTCACGGTAGACCGTAAAATAGACAAAGTCACATTCTTTCTCCATTTTGCTGATGTGAAAACCACAGTCCAGAAAGCACGCAACTTTGAGAAGGGGTGGAACTCAAGTGTGCCCCTTCCAGCATGTTATAAAGATGTGTCTTCTCTGCATATGAAGAAGTTTTCAGGTTCTTTCAGGAGACCGTTTATATTTTAATAGTGGATAGTGGGTTTCCAGATGCACATGATGATGGAAATTTATGTTTTCTAAATGTCAAATAACAGAAGAATGGTTAAGTAAATTATGACCGATATGTACACTGGGATACTATGTGTCCATTAAAATTAGTGTTTTCAAAGAATATATAATGTTACAGGGAATTGCTCTTGATTTTATCAATGTTTTGAAAAAGAAGTGGGATACGAAACAGCAGGATCCCAATTTTGTTTAGAAATTACACATGTGAAAAAGCACTAGAACTAAATGTACCAAACTCTTAATACAGTTTTCTCTAGATAGTAGGATTATGGTTTGCTTTTATTTTCTTTGTAAAGTCCCTTTCTGAATTTTTCAGTTTTTTTTCTTCAGTGAACTTGTATAATTAAAAAAATATATTATTTTAATTATTCCCTGCACTTTTTTCATTTTAGCTAGAGGAATCCTTTGAGTGGTTCTTGCTATCTTCCATTTATAAAATTCCATCTTATAAATCTAACCTTAACATGGAAGTCAGCAGGTTGTTTTCAGTGTTAGTGGATACATGTGAAGTAAATATTATTTGTTTATGTATTTTAAGACCACTAGAACTCACTGGTTTGTCTGTTATTTTTTGAAGATGACTCTTTTTTACATGATTCCTTAATTCCGTCAAACATCCTTTTGAGGCCTTTCTAGGTGAACCGGGCTGAAGATACACGGATGAAGACAGATCAGTCTCTCTTCTCAAGGGGCTCCCAGTCTGGTTTGAGATGTGGGCTAGTAAAGCAGTAAGCAGGTGCAGGGTGACCCCTGGGAGAAGGCTGTACGGGGTGCTCAGCGCGTGCAGAGGAAGGAGGTCATGTTCCCGGGCTGTGGGGGAGGTTGGGAAACCCTCCCACGGAGGTGTTTGGAGCTGAAAGCAGCTCTTTATTTGGATGACCAACCTCAGGTTTAGAAATGAGGATGATACATGTAAAGCTTCTTATGCTATGCAGACAGCTGTTGCTTTGAAGTTGTTCTACAATAGTTCAGGGTTTTGAAATGAGTTTAAAGATAAACTAGTTCTTTTGGGCTGTATCAGACCTTGACATTTCTTTTTAGGAGTTCTTTTGGTGTTGAGAGCTTCCCTTTATTTCTGTTTGCTTGCGTTTGCTAAAGGTTAGCGGTAATACCAAAGAGTAACAGTCTTGCCCTGAGATTATCGTGATGTCGTGTTTTTAACCTACTTTATATTACTTATCCTTTTATGTAGTGGTGAATGCTGATGTTGATCAGTTCTTCCCTTTCTCTTTCATTGCCCTGCCTCTTCCTCCTCTGCAGAGGAAGGGAGGCAGAGAGATGTTTTTGTTCTCCTTTTATAAAGATAAACTGAGTCATCGAATGATTGATGGACTTCTCCAGGTTACTACTGACTCAGTAATGGGACTGGAAAGAGAAATCAGGGTTCCTTTGTTCAAAGCTCTGACTTCTAAAATATTTCTCCATATAAGTAGAATAGGTTGTTTGCCAAAAATGCATTCACCTTTTAAATCTTTACTGAAAGTAATGAGCTTAAAATAAAGTCTCATGAAGATAATCGTATTGTTACAGCTTAGAACAGAAGTTAAGGCTATTTGAGTAGATTAACATGAGCCCCGAGTAAGGCTTACTATTCCGTCTATTTAATTAATTTGTTCAGCAATGGATTTTTATTTCTTTCAGAAAAAGAGTAATTGAAACATTCTCAGAAAACATTTAGGAACATTTTGGGATCAATTTTGATTAATTTAAAAATTTTAAATAAGAGGGACGGGATTAAAAATAGAATCAGGGGGCGCCTGGGTAGCTCAGCCGGGTAAGCCACTGCCTTCGGCTCAGGTCATGATCCCGGGGTCCTGGGATCCAGTCCTGCATCAGGCTCTCTGCTCAGCAGGGAGCCTGCTTCCTCCTCTCTTTGCCTGCTTCTCTGCCTATTTGTGATCTTTGTCTGTCAAATAAAATAAATAAATAAATAAATAAATAAATAAAATCAGTATTGACACATAATAGCTATACTTCATGCTACTGGATGATTCTGACTTCATTATTAAGAGGTTTCCTATAATCCACTGATGAAAATAATACTATTTTAATGCTTTTAGTAATTATTCTTAGTATTAATTAGTACTCTAATAATAAATGATGGTTATTATGCATATTACAGTAAATATTTGAAGCAGTGGTATAAATCTTAATATGAAGGAAAACAAATACATATGTAAGTACTGTGTAATTACAAATATTCATATACCTTGGATTAATTGTAGAATAAAACAAAGCTTGAAAGCTGTACTATAGTTTTATTTAAAATAAATTGGGGTGCCTGGGTGGCTCAGTTGATTAAGCATCTGCCTTCAGCTCAGGTCATGATCCCAGGGTCCTGGGATTAAGCCCCGCATTGGGCTGCTTGCTCAGTGGGGAACCTGCTTCTCCCTCTCCCTCTGCAGTTTCTCCTGCTTGTGCTCTGTCAAATAAATAAGTAAAATCCTAAAAAATAACAATAATAAAATAAAATAAATACTTTGTTGGGGCACCTGGGTGGCTCAGTCAGTTAAGCATCTGCCTTCTGCTCAGATCATGATTCCAGGGTCGTGGGATCGAGCCCCACATCGGGCTTCTGAGGGGAACCTGCTTCTCCCTCTGTTTGCACCTCCTGCTGCTTGTGCTCGCTCTCTCTCTCTCTCTCTCTCTCTGTGTCAAATAAATAAATAAAATCTTAAAAAAAAATAGTTCGTTGACTTAAATACAACAAATGTATTAATTAGAGTTGTAAGAACTTTAAAATATAGGAATGGTTCTACTGGATGTTATACGGAATAACAGTTTGTATTTACCACAGTTACATTGATCTGCTTTTAGAGTTATTACCTCAAATTTTTAAATTTTTGGCTTTTGTCCCAGCCAGCCCCAAGATTTTATATGTAATGCATTATTTATATTGCCATCAAGCGATGCCGATCAGGTTCCCATTTGGGCTTTGTTTCTAGGAAATATAGAAACAAAAACATAACCTCATCACCTGATTGATATATTTAGAGCTCAAGAGAGATATACACAGGAACCCCTACTGGTCTGGGGATCAGAATTTGTGTCCAGCAAACGTCATGAGGGCAGAGGGATATTCTGTGGGTCCCACCCGTCTGTCCTGTACTTGGCCATGCTGGGGCTGGGGAAAGGGAACTTACTGAAGATGGCCCAGAAGCCACATTAGAGGTGTCTATCGGCCTTATTTGTATGCCCACGGACAAATTATTTCACCTTCAGGGCTTCAACTTACTGAACATGACAGGCATGAAAATGGATACTAAGGAAAAATATAGCTACTGTCCTCAAAATATGTGGGGAGGCTGATAAAATCTATTACAAGGTGTCAATATAAAAAAAAATGAGAAACCTCTCCAACTGGTTGCAGCTGGGTAGAATTTTGAAATGCTGGAGTTAGGAAATAATAGAATGATTGAACATAGCTAGGTAAGATGAATACTAGAAAGTTCTGTGATGGGGGCTATGAGGAAAGGGAATCTGTATCTAGATCCTGTGGATTAACCGTAATAGTACTTATTTTCAAAATCCAGAATTCACAAATTACTTAGAGTAACGATGCCAGGCAGAAGGTAGGGGTGAGTGTGTGTGTGTGTGTGTGTGCATGCACACGTGTGTGTGTCTTCATTATGGATACTCCATTCACTGCTAGAGTTACCACAGTCAGGATTCGGGTGGTGATGAAGTAGATTGTTCTTCCTTAAATACGAACTTGCACTAGTTTTGACCTGTTCCATTTCCATGGTACAGGAAAGTGAGCTCTGGTGCCAGATTCCCTGGGTTTGAATTCTAGTCCTGCCATTTTATCACTGACATAGTAAAAGTTACTTCCTTGCTTTGTTCTTCAGTTTTTCCATCTGTAAAATGGGGATAACATTGGTACCAATCTCATAGACTGTTGCGAAGATTTAATAGGTTAGTTGATGCGTGTCAATCATTTAGAACAGTTCCTGGAACTCAGTAAAAGATAGACATCAGTAGTGTTGGTGGCAGTGGCGGTGGTGTTACAGAATTCATTATCTAACTTGTCAAAGCCCTCCCTGTTTCTGTTTGATTTTCATACGGTAGCGAAGGCTGGGAGAGGTTACATCTTTTCCAGGTTCTATATCTAGTCAGCGCTGGGTAGCTGGGCTACAGCGCCCAACCTCCAATTTATATCTTGGTTAAGTGGGGTTTTTTGATGATAGAGCTGACTGGGTTGTTGCCTGGAGGCAGAGCTGGATGGGAAATAGTGACTCAAGAGACCAGGGAGGGTAATGTGAACTTTCTGGGTCTTCCTCCTCCTCCTAGTCCCTGCTTCTCATCACACTCCCCTGCTTTGCCCCACACAATCTAGAACCATGGGCTTAGAACCAAGTGTGAAGGAATCAGTGTCTACTAATGTATGTCCGTCTTTGTGTCCTCAGGAATGAGGGGAGAATCCTACTTCATTGGAATGAGGAGCCTGGGGCAGCAGGGGCACATCCCAGAGGATGGAGGACTTCTCTTGCTCTGCTGCATAGACAGAGACTGGGCCGTAACTCGGTGTTTTGCAGAGGAAGCCTTTCAAGCAATCACTGACTTCAACGACCTCCCCAACTCACTGTTTGCGTGCAACGTTCACCAGTCAGTGTTTGAAGGAGAAGAGAGCAAGGTAATGAGCCTTTTCTACTCGGGAATCATGGGGAGATGTGGCATTATCCCAAAGTATTTCCATGGCTTATTTGTGATTGATGGTTTGAAGTTTTGGAAAATGTGTGGTTGTCTCTGTTCTTGGCATGCAGAGCAGGAGGAGAAAAGCCTATTCTAGTTATCAACGAACTGTGACAAGATTGTGGATGTTGAATCAGCTCTCCTCCTCGGAGACTCACGGGCCTATCTAACAGAGCAAGTGGTGTTAGGAATAGCGATTGCAGGAGATACCCCTTGGGCTAGGAAAGAGACGTTGCTTAAAAAAAAGTTTTATTTTTTCCTATTCTGCCAAATGGCACAAGCTCTCTTGTACCCCTACCCCTGCTGCAGTTGGTGAATGTTCCAAGCCTAGCTGTGAGAGGAGTTCCACAGGTGTTATTAGAAAGGTCAGTTGGCTGATCCTCGGAGTCTTGCTTTGCTCAGTGGTATCACACAGGGTGGAATTGTTAAGTGTGTGGCAAGAATTTGAGGAAAAATGGCTGATTTGAAGGGATTGGGGAATGAGGTTGTCTGTGTACAAGTATTTTCCAGAGAATGGAGTTTCCCATCTGAAGAAACAAACCTGATTCAGTGTAAGTATTCTTGGAAATTGGAGTTAAGTATTCTGCTTGGAGATCTTTTTAAAGCTCATTTTAGATTTCTCTGATCTTTTTAGTGGGGTGTCTGACTAGATCAAACCTTTCCTGTCGATGTAGATTTCTTTTCTTTTTTTTTTTTAAATGTAGATTTCTAATTGCAAACATGTACTATAATAGTATGTTATAAAACATGGGCAACACTTTCTGGGGGGAAGGTCCTTTTTTCCTAAACTGAATTATAAGCCTCTGTGTGAGATGTAAGAGTAGGAGTTATGATTGCCCTTTCACAAACTTAGGCTGATTTTGCCAATTGCTGAACTCCTAACTCTTTTGCCTGAAAACAATTACTGGAAGTCTTTTTTTTTTTTAATTGGATTTTATTGGTTTTGTAAATAATTCTGATAGGCTGGAGGATTAGGAATTATAAAGATAGTTTTATATTGATATTACTTTGGAGTTGAACATCAACATGATAGGCTAAAAATAGCTTGAAATCTGAGGCCTTTAATGTGATTAGAACCTCCAGTGTTGTAATCCCTCGACTGTTTGAAGTAAGAAAATTGCATGTGATCTCTTTGAAAGAAACTAGGAATTTTGCTCTTGGATTAAAACCAGTTTATAACACAGATTAGAATTTACTCAGACCCAGTAATTTCCCCCCTGAAATCTGCCTGACATTAACTATGAAACAAATTGTTTTCTCATTCTGTCATCTGTTTATCTAAATGAATCAACAATTAGAAGGATTTTCCTTAGAGACCAAAAGAGGATTTTGATTCTTTCCTGATTAAATACTTCCTGGTAGATTGAAACAGTAGGACCTAGGGAGGAGCTTATCCCATTCTGGAGTGCTGCTCAAGCATGACTGATCTACTGATCCAGGATTGGTTATATAGGAAGACAGAAGCTTGGGCAGAGTTCCCACATCTGTTCTGATACTCTGATCTGTGACTGAATCATGGATTACAAAATACTCTCTTTTAATTTGTATACAAAGTTGGTACATTGCAGCTTGACCAAAAGTATTTGGTTTTTAAATGACCTCGATAAAATATTGAGTTGAAATCAACAAGATGTAGTTCAGCGGAGCCAGTTTCAAATTATTTAGACCACATTTTTATAGTCAAGGAGGTGAATTTTGTAATTGGCCAAAGTCTACATAATTGGACTTATTAAATCAGATGGAAATTCTTCTACTTTGGGGTGGTTTTATAGCCCCCACTTGAGCAAAGTCTACAGGATATCAAATAATCTGATCTAGATTCAGTTTTGATTTATGTATACTAATTATGTATCCATGGTTACGGACGACAAAGCGAGATGATCGGATACCAAATGAGTTGACAGTAGCAAGGAGGCACGACCGTGGGACACTGGAATATGTATTTGGGGAGACTTGGGGATCCTCATTTTCCCTGCCACATCCTTCTCTTCAAGTCCCAGACCTTTATGGTCTTCCTTTGACTTCCACTGATTTTCACCATTTTAACAGAACTGACTTGTTTTGTATGCCAGTCTCTCAGGAAGTTCCGCAGTGTTCAAAGTTCATGAATCTAAGTCACCTAAGTCTGAAAATCATTCTTTCCTGAAGGGTGGACATTTTAGGCACTGTGCTAAGTTGATAAGGGGATATCTTTAGGTGGAGGGAAAAGGAACAGGAGGCATTTCTAGCCCTCCTGCATTTGCCTGTGGGCAAAGCTGGCTGTGGTGATGTTCTAAAATACTTGGCCTTGGGAAGATGCGTTTAGCAGCCTGGAGTTATATCAGGGAGACAAGACATTGGAAATGATGGTTAGTATTCATTTCAGAGGTCCAGGTGGGTAGATGGCAACACATGGAACTTGTCCTTTCTTTCTTGGCACAGTCTGCTTCTGGTTCATTGTTCCTTGATATTGATGGACTATAGTTTAGATTGTTTTTTGCAGGTATTATAAAGCATGCATTTCAACTTCCTTAGCTGGGGAGGAATTACAGCTTTTGCTCTCTGACTATCCTGAATGAGCCTTGTACCAGTCTCTTCTCTGTCTTTCCACCTGTCTGAGACGATTTTTCTGAGCTCTTTTCCTTTTTGAACTACTTTGGAAGCCCCTAAATTGGACTGTTAATATAGGTAACACCACAGGATCTGATCTTCCTGTTATGCTAGTTTTTCTTCATCAGAGTACTTATGAGAAGTTCCTTTCTGCTATCCCGTCTATCCTATTCTGACACCTAAAGAACATTTTAAAAACAGCTTTGTGAAAATTGTTCACCCCGATTTTCTGCTAGGCAGAATTCTGTGAGATTGTATTTTGATTTGATGCTTTTTGCAAGGAGTGAGCACATACTTCAGAGTGGCTTGTTGTGGTCCAGATGGTTGAGATTTGTTTATATAACACAGAAGAGAACCGGAGCTGGAGGAAATTGGCATCTGCAACCAATAAATGCAGATTGCTGTTTGCATGCTACAGCTTGAAACATAAATATTTTTGTATGAAGCACATTTAGAACTGGGATCTTCACAGCTTGCAACACCGAAAAGTTACTAGGGTTCATTTCCCTTTGGCATGCTCCCCTGGGTTTGCCTTTCTGGATCCAGCTGGGCTACAGAGACTCATCTTGAGACAGGTGAGGCTGGAGGGATATCCTGGGGGCTGTCCTGTGTCTGTTCTGAAGATAGGTGAGTGTTTCCTCAATGGGACATTGGCATTCACTGGTAGCTAAAGGAGAACAGGGAAACAACCATCACGAAACATTTAGCCAAATGAGATTGAGTAAGGAGAAACCTGACTTGATAGTGGCCTCCAAAAATGATGAATTTATTCAGTTTAAAAATAATAGTGATTAGGAATAATGGTAGCAGGTACTTATATAGCATACAGCAAGGTGCCAAAGTACTCTTCCAAATGGCTTTATAAACATTAAAGCCTTTAATTGTCATGACAGTCCTATAAGGGGGGGGGGTGTCTTTCTGCTTCTCTCCTCCCGAGTGTCTATCACAGTTGTGTTCCGTGGACCCCTCTGGCTAGTTCTGCCCAGTGTGTAAGCAGAAATGACCTGTCACTTCCAAGTCAAGCATTTAATTATGGATGTTTGACCCTGAAGAATATTCTTTTCACACTGCTGGGGCAACTGGCATTGTACCAGGTGGTGCCTACTCAGGTAGTTTGGGTTGTGGGGTAAGGAGAGTGATGACACAGAGTTCTGGCCAACATGAGGAACATGTAACATGACAAGGGGAAAAAAAAAGCCTTTGTTGCTTTAAACCACTGGGATTAGGGAGTTTGTTCTTAAGAGTGTAACTTAGTCTATCTAGGTTGATACAGTAAGCACAAGTCCTCTCGACGTTCAATTCTGATTCATTACCCACCATACCTTACCATCTCTAAACTCGACCATGGAAAACCAGTTCTAGAAATCAACTTGGCTCTCCACCACTTGAACAGTCAAGTAAAAGAATGTAAAGCAGAGAACTCAGGCAATTCAATAGCAAGACTCAAGCTAGATGTAAATGCATTGAGTCCAAATCAGTTCAGTTGTAAATGTGTAGCAAAGGATAAACAAGAAGATGATTTACTGTAGTTTAAGTGCCGCTGAAGATAGGTTGAAAAAATAAGAAATGAAGTAGACTCTGGTGGCCCGAGGGTGGGAAAATGATAACGGAGCATTTGTTTTAAATACTAAAGCAGTTAACAGTTAAATTAGATATCACATATTTAAGAATACGAGCGAGTTGTGCTGTTTTTCTTGTGCTGTTCATCCCGGATAGGTGAAAGTGACATTTGCAAATAGGTTGTTGCTTTAAAGAAAGTCTGAATTGTGAAAAAGACAGTGGGTATCTTTGTACTCAGTTACGTTATTCCCATTTTGTCTTTTCTCTGGACAGTGACTGGGAACCATAATTAGTCACCGCTAATCACTTGGGGGCACCTGCCAGATGAGAGGCCCAGCGTGGGGCAGATTTGAGAGCTGCTGTAGGACATTCCCTGGAACCTTAACCTTTCTTAAAGTGACTGAAATATTCCAGAGGCATATTTAGTGTCTTGCTTCTCCACAGAACTGAGTGACCCCCTGGGGCTTGAGCATCTGACAAGCCACTCTAAATGCCCCACTTAACTACCTGCAAATAATTGAGGCAGTGGAAAGAATTAAGCCTGGTGCATACAGAGTTGAGAGTATTTGGTTTCTGTGCCAAAGAGAAGGTGAGTGTATATTCCTGATGGCACCTGGGGAAAAACGGCTGCCATGTGCCAGTGGGTCCAGGATGATATTAAAGAGGGACAGGAGGCTTTTTCCCTTCTTGGAAAGATGAAGGTACTTGGAATCCATTTCAGATGGTGGCCATCAGAGCTGCTGCTGGCCTATACAGTGACGCTGTGAATTATGAGAAGGTGCCCCCATGGGC